CCCAGCCTGCCAGGGAGCTAACCCAAATGGTGCAGATCTCTTCTGTCTCACCTGCTAAGCCCCTCAACAGTATATTTCAGTAGATTTGCCTGTTATGCTCCCCTCTCTGACTCTGGTGAATCCTCCCACCCAACCTCCACTTCTGGCCTATACCTCAGTTCTTGTATGTATAAATAAATTTTTCTTCAGTTTTACCTAAACTAATTAAACTGTAGTGCAGGTAATCAATGTCAAATACTGTTATGAAACTATAAGTGTATAGAAGCTCAAAGGTAAAACATATTTATAAAGAAAAAAGCAGTAAGGTCCTCCCTAGTGATGCAACAAGTTAAAGCACAGCACTATGAAGCTATCGCAGCCACTGCAGCACGAGTTTGATCCCTGGCCAGTGGGGTGACCCACATGGTGTGGCAGACCTCTCCTGTCTAGGCCCGCTGCTCCCCTCAGCAGTGAACTTTGTGGATCTGCCTGTTCTACAGTGTACCCTGCCTCTGGTGAATCCTCTCACTGTTCCTTTACTTCTGGCCTATACCCCAGTTCTTTATGCATAGATATATATATTTTTTAAGGTCAATTAACAAAATTATTAATAACATTTTGGTCTTTAATTTTTAAGATTTATTTATTAATGGATAAAAGAACTAGGGCATAGGCCAGAGGAATAGGGAGGTAAAGAAGATTCACCGGAGACAGAGTGGATAGCAGAAGAGGCAGACTGACTGAAATACACTGCTGAAGGGAGCAGTGTGAGAGAGAAGAGGTCTGCACAATGTGGGTTAGCTAACTGGCTGGAAATTGAACTCTTGTTGCATTGGCTGCTTGCTTGATAGCGCTGAGAACAGGACTTGCCCTGTAACAAATGGTTCAGACAAAAACAACAGTAAGGTGGCAAAGATTAAATATTTAGATTTAATATTTTAACAGTATTAATAATTTCAAGAAAATGTAGCTGAACTCAAACTGGATATATATGGTGATTGAAGAGCAGGCCTCATTTTCTTATACAAAGCTGCCATGAACTTTCAAAATCTGAAGTTTGATGAAATGAAGACTTGGAAATAGTCCTCTCTTATATTTACATGCTCATGTGTATGAATGATTTTCAGTTGCTGGGATTTTCAATAATACCAACGTTAACTCCACCAGTGGACTTCAGCCTCTGGCATTTATTGAAACCAAGATCTCAGTAACATCTTAACCACATTTTTAGAAGTGTCCACATGAATCCCAAAATAAATTTGCTTCTAGATATGCAGTTCATTTGGGGCAATGTTTAATCTATGCAGAGAACTGTGTGAAATAACCCATCACTGAGAACTCTTCACAATGTGCTTCCTATTTATTACATCCTATAATGTCCAATTATAAAATATATTGTAGTTACTACCTTAAAAGGAATTGATAGAAACTACCAATTGGCCTTTACCTGCACTTTTTTATTTTTAAAAAAATGTATATATTTATTTATTCATACAGAACTGGGGTACAGGCCAGAGATGTGGAGGGTGAGAGGATTCACCAGAGACAGAGTGGAGAGCAGACCAGGCAGATTGGCGAAGTACACTGCTGAGGGGAGCAGTAGGCGGGTCAGGAGAGGTCTGCTGGGCCATGTGGATCTCCTCCAGGGCAGGCGGGGATCGAACTCATGCTGAAGTGACTTAAGCTTCTCAGTGCTGTGCTTTAACCTACTGTGCCACCAGGGAGGGCCCTTTACCTGCACTTTTGTAGTTTTAACAGGTTTTTGTTTTTGATGACTAAACCAAACAATGTATATGATTTAAGTGTGTCTCCAACTATTTTGGAAAATTTCAAACTCACAGAACTTGACAGTAATATTAATACTGCCTTCATTAAAGCAAGAGTGGTCAACAGAAGAAAACAAAAGATCACTAAGAAGTCATTTCCTTCTTAGATAAGGGAATTTGAAAGACAAAGTACATTTGTACTTATGGACAGCAAATGGCAGAAATGAACACTTTTCTAACCTACCAGCCTGGAGAAGACATCTTAATTCCTAAAGACATGTGACATGAGCTTGCTTATGCCCTATGACAAAGTTAAAGATACACACACACACACACACACACACACACACACATCTGGACTAGGTAATATATGGATCCATAGTTGATGGGAAAACTGCATTCTAAAAAAAAATGTCCCTCTGAAAGAAAAGTTCAGGGGAGTAAGAATCTTTAACAGTGGCCCAGCTGCATGCCAATTAATAATCATCTAAATGTGAATAGGGTAAAAGAATTAGCCTAGTTTAATAGAATAGAAATTAATACATGTAATTGGTTGGACACAATAAGGAGAAGGGTAACTCAGCCCATGAATGCTTTAGAACTTAAGGGTTTGGTAAATTATGATCCTATTAGGAGTAAAAAGGGTAATACTGCAAATGTTTTCTCAGGATCCACTTAAAAGCATTATGAAACCCATTCTGTTATTTGGGGGCTGTTTTGTTCAGTCCTGGTATCAGACTGTTGGCATGACTCTTACTTAACTAGCATCAAGAATAAATGAGGAACACTGAAGGAAAATAGCTGCTTGGTGGAAAGAATATACTATTTTAAAAGAGCTTTTTTTGTGTGTGGAATCAGGCTAATTCCATATTGCATGATTGCATAGGTCAAAATATGGAGCAGAGGTGCTGAGAGCTTATTCTATGTCAGGCCCTTTGAAATTATTTTGAGGCAGAAAATTTCAAAAAGTGTCTATCAGGCTACTTTAGAAAACCTGAATATCTATTTTTGGCTTCATTTTTCCAAAAAAGATCAGCATTTAACTTCTTGAGAAGAGAACAGAAGAATGTATATTCTCTGAAATGAGTCTAAGAAAAGGTTAGTCATTATTCTCAAACTTCAAATGTATCTGACTTTGGGTCTGCTTTGGTTTGAAGCAGAGCCCATTAGGACTTTCAAGCTCCCAAACTGTTTATAAGGAGCAGTTAGGATAGATGATTTGTCTGGATGTAAATAAATGAGAAATTTTAAGAGAGGAAGCTAAGTGAAAATTATTTACTGATTACATGCCACTCAGTGTGACTGACATTTTTGCAATCTATTCTTTATACTTAGAATCTGTTAGCAAGGGCCTGGCACATAGCAAGTTCCAGATGTTTTTTTCCAAATATATCCTGGATCAATATAACTTAAGAGGTTTTATCATCCCTGCATTATAGATAAAGTAGTTTAGGCTCAGAATGTATCCATTTTGGATAGTGCACTAAGGAATATTGTAAAGCTGTGATTTAATCTCAAAGCTAGTGTGTCTTCCCTAACTTTTGTGGTCACTAAAAGTCGTAAAGTAAAAATCAGAAGCTTACCTATGTGATCCTTTTTAATAGAACCATTTCTTCTGTTCTCTTCTCAAGAAGTTAAATGCTGATCTTTTTTGGAAAAGTGAAGCCAAAACAGATATTCAGGTTTTCTAAAGTAGCCTGATGGAAACTTTTCTTAGAATTTCTAAAATAAGAGGATATTGGGCAAGGTGACCCATCTGAATTCAAAGCATCTCAAGAAAATATGGAGAAAGTACAGCTCAAAAATATATACCTCTCACATTAATAATGGGAGGGTGGAGCCCAGTCAGCTACAGTGGAGGATTATGGGTGGTATATATTGTGTGGTAACATAACATTTAAAGAGATGTGAACCTATACCCCTAATTCTTACATAGTGGTATATATATATTGTTACCTCAATAAAACAAATCTAAATGAATGATAATTATGCTAAGTCAATTTTTTTATATATCAAAATAATTTCAATTTGCACTAAAAAATTGAAATAGTTTACATTCTTTTTAAGTCCATTGTGTATTTTATAGTGGTAGCAGATCTGAATGTGAACTAGCCATATTTTAAGTGTTCATAACCTTTGGTAGGTAGTGATTACTACATTGGACAGCATGGTAAAGTCAAACCCTTCCTCCAGTGTAGTCATTTTAAAATGTATAAAAATAAGCTCATAAAAACTGAACCAGAGTTAAGTAATGTTCTCTAAGAATGAAAAGTGAGAGGTTAAATGTTACAGTATAAAGATCTTTTCTAATTACATAAATGAGAAATTTGCTGCTGTTAAAGTTTTGCAGCCTTTTTAAAATTTAACATCACTTTTACAGATGCCTTCCCATGACCCCATCAAAAGTCCTCTGGGTACGAGGTTATTTTGCCGTTCATTAAATATCTGGTGACAATAATGCACAAAAACATGCTAGATGTAGTGAGGGGTATAAGACTCCCCAATCTCTGCTTTCACAAATCTTCCAAACTGGAAAGGGAGATTAAAAAATGAAAAGCTGCTTTACATTTCACTGTCAAATATTTGCCTATCAGTCTTTCCACAGTTATTAAAGAATGAATGTAATTTAACTTTGTATCTTCCCAGGGCATGATAGAATGCCTAATAAATATTTACAGAATTCACTATGAGTTATATGTTACTTTCTAGAACAGAGGTTCCTATGAAGTACACCAAGTACAGAAAAATATTCCTCTTCCCTAAAGGAAAGTTACCTTTGACAGGTCTGAATCATTTGAAACATATAGAAGGTGGTCATATTTAAAGGATAAAGAATTTTTTTACAGCTCAGAAACTATGGAAATAGAATTTGTCACTAATAATGGTACCTCTAGAATTTCTGCTTATTAAATATAAAAGCAAATTAAAAAAAAAGCCTGAGTGACCTGAAAATACCATTTACAGAGACAGAAATCACTTAAGTGCCTTTGATAACATTCTGAAATAAACAGCAGCAATAAAGCCCCAAAGAAGGCCCAATAATTTTCCTTTTGGAATACTTCAACTTAATAAATTTCATTCTAATGTTACTTTGAACAATTTTGTTAAGCCTGCTCTAGGCAGTGTGAAAATTAAGAAATCTAGCAGAGTAACATGCTTTTATTTTACCATCATGCAGATAAAATAAGCCAATGGTACACTAATTTGACAGTACAGTCTCACAAATATTAAATCTATTTAGGAAAAGAGACTCAATTCCTAAACTGTTACTAGAACAAATTATTAATATAACCAAATCACAATCATTTATTTTTCCATTAAGACAATTTCCAGTCTTCAGAGTCTGACAAGACCAAGCTTATTCAAATTGTATTTCTAAGACAGTTTAAAGAGAAACAAATTGAAAAATCACTGCAAATACTCATTTAAATATCTACTGGATATAGGAACATTCCCAAATGTTCCCAAGTGAAAGCAAAAGAAAGTGTGTACAGTTCAACTTTCTTGGTAAACAGAAACAGAAAATAACAGTATTTTACTAAATACAAATTAAATAAAGGGCATGTTATTTTCTGCTTAAGTCAAATGAAAACAAGAATTGTGCTTTTTTTTAAAGAAGTGACATATTTAACACTTGTAACCACCTTCAATTCTCCCATTGGAAATGCTGAAAAAAATATTTCTCCTCCCATCACCAGTGATAAAGTATCTGCCCGGAAGTCTCTCTCAATGTTAGGCCTAGTTTTACCTGGCTCATTTTGCCAGTGGCCTTTCACTCAGTTCCCACTGCTTAGGGTATCTGTCACAATCTCTTTAGTAATTCCATATACTGAGAATTAAGTACTACTTTCCATTCCATCTAGATCTGTCTCCCTTTAAATCCCCTAGGTGTTGCTAAAGGAGGTATGGAGATGGGGATGAGAGGGAAGAGCTAGGGCAGTCTATTTTACAGGACAACCTCTTTCTGAAAATAATGAAAAAAAGTTAAACTAAACTGAAAAGTCCTGCTTCTGCATATGTTCTATCACTTTTTTTAAAGCAGAATAGACAGTGCACTGTCCCCCTGGCACTTAGTCATGTTCAGCATGAAGGAGGCACATGAAGGAACCTAGGTTTTTGTGTGCATCCACTAGTTGAGGCTGAAAAAGCCTGGAAATGGATACCACCCTTACCCTTACCACGAGGAGACAGACTTAACTTATCACCTCAATCACCTGTCTGATAACCATCAGAATTCTTAAGATGATGGGGGGGAGGGAAGAGGAGGAGTTAACAAGGCAAGGACCTTTGGGAAGAGAAATGGTCTTGTACACATTGTCAGAGAACCTGTTATCTGGCCTTGTTTACCAGAAAATAGACACGGAGGTGGAAAACAGTCTGAAAATGTTCATCTATTAGGTAGCAGCCAGTGGAGGTGGGCACAGCCAGGAGCAGGCAGCAATAAGTGACCATTAATACAGAAAGAGCAAAGTCACATAGTTCATGGAGCCCACTGCTGCTTTCCCTTGATATCATCGATGCCCAGCAACTGTCCAATGCCTGTACTGAAGAGCAGGCGTAGAATGACTCCAAGGCAAAGTTAGAATACAGGTGGTAGGAACCAGACCCCAGACGGAGGAACAAACAAGGTGCAAGCAGTACAGATAAAGGCAGTCTACAGCATCAGTTGCTTGGTTTAGCTGTGAACGATGACCATGCAGCATGTAACAGTAATGCAGAACAGCCTGAAGGCATGTGGAAGTGGAGGACGCCACGGAAGTCCCAAACCTGAAGTTGAAAACAAGGTCTAGACGAAAAAGGCTGCAGTTATGTCAGGGGAAAAAAGCAAGCATACCCATTTCTGTTGCCCTAGACTTCGAGCAAGAAGTGGGAAGGGCCCCTGTGCAATATTTACAAGGCCAAAGTTTAACCAGACTGGAACCCAAAGGGCCTGGGAATCTCCACTGGTTCCCTGATAGGGCGACGCCTGATTCTTCTGACTCCTTCACGCAACAGGTAGTACTGCAGTGGATTTGGCCACAGATCCTCTTTGATAATCTCGGCAATCTTGTCCGACTCTGGAAGGCTGTGGTCTGAAAACCAGGTAAAGAAACTGCAGACCAGATCTTGGTTCCTGCGAATGTACGACTGGGGCTCATGGCCGCGGCGCCATATGATCGGAGTGGAGAGAGAGACCACCCGACCGGAGGCTCTGACCTCATACTCCTTTACAATCAGCTTGTTTCTGAAGTAGGGGTTTCTTCGGAAGAAGAACTTGAACTTGCAGCCAGTTCTAGGATGTCTGAGCTCCTTCACCTCCAGGTTGGTTATATATCTCAACATCTCTGCGTCTTGGCCGCGAATCATGGGAGCCAGCTGGGGATGGTTCCGAAAGGCAGTGACCCAGAAACCCGGGATGTTCTGAATGATGTAGTTCCTCCGCTCCAGGTAGTGGCGGCGCATCCTCCCAAACTTCTGCTCCAGCTGTTGAAAGGCTCGGTCGGCCTGAGCGTTCACTGTGTCCAGTTCCAGCTGGATGGCCTCCAGGGGATTCATGCGCAGGTCGATTCGCAGGGGGCGGGGCCCTGCCGCCATCCACTCCTCCACCTCTCGGTTTTCCTCCACCGCCTCCATTTCTCCTGACCTCTCTCCCATCTCCATCTCTTCCACTTCCTCTTCCACGACCTCTTTCTCCTCCACAACTTCCTTTTCCACGACCTCCTTCTCCGCCACCACCTCCTCCGCTGAAAAGATGGTGCACTTTTCAGGCTTCACTTTCTCCGCATTCGCCCCCGCCATCACCTCAGTTTCCGACCTCTCTGCGCCACACATTCCAAGGGCTTTCTCCACTCTTGGGCCGCGCGGCTCTCGATCCTGACCGACGTTTTCCAGGCCGCTGTCCGCTGCCATGGACCCCGAGTCTGCTCCCAACACCTCCGCGGGAGAAGCAGGCTCTTCGTGCCCCGCTTCCGCAGCTACGTAACCGCGAAGGGTAAGTCCACAGGTCGCCGGGTCCTGGGGGGCGCCCCCTTCCTCTATTACCTGGGGAGGCGGGGGAAGCGCGACCATTTCCAAGCATCCTTCACGCGTCTCCGCCATCACCTGTGACGCCTCGGTTTTCTCACGGAGCATCAGGCACTGGCGTGACTCCGAGTCCCCTGAGGCATGACTGGGAGTCCCGGGGCTGCTGGTTTGTGGGAGAGGGGCCCTCCTGACTCCACCCAGGTCGCCCATGTCGCCGATAAGCGACCAACGGTGAGTTAACGTCTGTTTACCTCAGAGGAGCCGCGCTCGGTAAACAGCCGTTGCTCGCGCCAGCCCGCCGCTGGTCTCGCGAACGTCTCCGTGAGGATGACGTAGGCGCGGTGGTCACCGTCACGCTGAACGCGCCGCACTAGGCGTGGCTTCTGACTACTGTTCAATGGAGATTCTTAGTGTAACTGTGTTTACTGCTGGTTGGAGAATGTAATTTACAAAAGGAGATGTAGATCGGCATCAGAGGCAGAAGGCATTAGCCCCTCTCCTTCAGATGCATCTGGAAATTTCGTTCGACCTGTAGACTGTGGCAATTAAAGAACTCAACAGTACTGCACAGTCTGCTCTTGTCTGAGGCATGTTTTCTGGTTTTAATTATTTCCTTGAGGGAAAAAGGTAAATCATTTATTTACCTTTTAGTACATAATGGCTAACAGCAAAAATCTTGTTTATCTTAAACCAAGATGAATACGAAATTATTCCCTTTTCCTCAAGTACTAGTGGTCTGCATGTATCAATTCTAGTCTCTACCATTACTGGGAGAAAATGCTACTCAGTGGCTTTTTAATCCTTTTTCCTTTTTTAAGATTTATTATTTATACAAGATCTATGGTACAAACCAGAGGTTGGGGTGGGGGAGTGGTTAGGGAGAGGACCCATCAGAGACAGAGTGGGGAGCAAAACAGGTAGATTGACTGAAATACACTGCTGAGGGGAGCAGCAGGTGGACAGGAGAGGACTGCTGTGCCAGATGGGTCAGCTCCCAGGGCCCCAGTGCTGGGCTTTAACCCATTCTGCCATCAGGGAAGGCCCAGCTTTTTATCTCTCGTGGAAATGTTTGTTATTCATTGCTAGGCATCAGCTTATAATCTGTATCAAAGGAGAGTTTATGTTATCTAAATCTGCAAGAATTAGACCAAATTTACTAAATCTTGCTCCACAGCCTCTCACCATGGAAAGGAAAGCTGATTTTGCCCCATAAACTATTAATCTAATTAGTTGTGCTAGGAGGCAGGAATAGTTGGTTCTAATAAAGTTTCTGTTCATGGAAATTAGCACATTAAATTCATTTAAGAGGGATGTCATTGTCTCTGGTTTTTTTGGTTGTTAATTTGTGAGGAAAATATGGTGTTATATTGAGTTACAGGACCTCAAAACAGATCCACCATTGGGGGTGGGTCTTGGGGTGGGGGGAAGTATACCCTCTTAGGGCAGAAAACAAATTTGCAGAGGGTCTCAGAGGGACCCTCTGCCACATTTCCAAGGACAATACAGGGTGTAAAAGAGCCAAAACTTTTTTTCTTATTTGCTTTGCCTTGTGCAGTAGAAAAATGGCCCCTGAAGAGGTACACATAGTCATGTTCAGAACTTGTGCATATATTACCTTATATAGCAAAAGGGACTTTGCAGATATGACTATATTTGGTCATGGTAATGTTATCTTGGTGTATCCAAATCTTAGGCAAGAATGTCCTTTATTGAAGATGGGACTGCCAAAGCAGAGTTGAGAAAGATTTGAAGATGTTACACTGTTGACTTTGAAGGGGGAGGTTAGGGGCAGGAAAGAACCAGGACCCAAGGATCCAAGAAGGTAGCCACTAGAAAATGGAAATGTAAGGAAATGGAACCTTTCCTGAACTCCAAGGAAATGGGAGCCCTGTTATGGTTGGCAGCCCTACCAACACCTAGACTTTATGATTCCTAACCTCCAGAACTATAATTAACGTGTGTAGATTTAAACTACTAAGTTTGTAGCAGTTTGTCCCAGAAGCAATATGAAACTAATACTCTTGAGTTGGAGGTTTGGTTGCATCTTATGTGTGTCTCAAGTTTTCCTAGCAGCAGCCCCTTGGATCTTGCCCATACAAAGATCCTGCCCATCAGCTGTGATTTATCATATGCTAAGTCTCCTTTTTAGTTATTGTGACCAGATACACACTTAGGCAATACACAGAAAGATAAAATTAATGCAAAACTTAATAAAAATTTGCGATGACACTTCAGAAGAACAGAATTAGAGTTATGGTTTCGTTTTGTCATGTTTGCCTAGTGTCTAGCATACTGTCTAATTTTCACAGTGTCAAATCAATTATTAGAATGTTAAAGGAACAAATGCATAGAATATTTTTTGTCCTGCTTGCAGCTTGATGCTTGCAAATGTGAAGGGCATACAGATTGTAACCCTACTCCTCTCTGCCACTGGACCAGAGGACCACTCTCCTATCTTATGGAAACGAAGTCTTAGTCAAAATAAATTTCCATAAAAGCCCCTAAAGGCATAGAAAAACCACAGGGGAAGCAATTTGCTTCACAAATAATTTACATTTGTGTGGGCATACTGTATGACAAACTGAGAGAACCAATATATTTATGTGAGTTTACATAGAAACTACCAACATTGTGTTTCCAGTGTTCTCTTGTCTGAACAAGCCAAAACAATGAGTCTAGGCCTTATTTTATTTCTTTTCTCTCGGCAAGAAATAGATTCAGATCTTATAATTCATGGCTGAAATTACTTCTGTATATATAGTATTGAAAACAAAATTTTCACAAGATTCACTTATTTCTAATTCCCATAATAACCATCTTTTCTTTTGAAAGTGGAATAACTTAATTTGACCTTCAGCAGTAACTTATTCTCTTATAATGACTGCTAATCAAGCAGAGGACAGGGTGATGCTTTGAGCAGTCAAAAGAGGTGGTTTTTGGTCAATGATGTTTGCAAATGTAACTAATCTCACTGGAATTATGAAAGCTACAACTGTACATGGTGCAGGTAAATGTAATCAATATAAGTGTAAGTTCCTCAGTGTTGAGATACTTCCAAGAAATATTTTCTTATTGTCAGTGCATTTGGAAAAGCTGTAATGCGGAATATCCTGATTTTAAATTATGCAAAACAGTAGCCATATGACTGTTATTTTAACACTTTGGGCCAGGTATAATCATTTTTTAATAAATGATTACTTAAAACTAAGAAAGGGCCAGCAAGAAGCAAGGATTAGAGGGAAAAGCAAGTATGTCCTATTTCATTTCTTTTAAGGAGAGAAACTTTGCTTTGAAGAAGAATTCTAGGATTTAAACCTGTACCAAGTCTCATGTACTCAGGTAGTTTTGCTATGCAGAAGAAGAAAAGAAAAAAAAGTGATTGCTATTTGCCACAGAAAATTGTGCTATTTTAGTAGGGCTATTAATTGTGGATGTTCTGCCTTATCTTTCTGAATATTAAGTCTTAAAATGGTTATGTGTTTCTTTTAGGCATATAATGTCCACTCTTTATGACCCCAACTCACACCTATCTTGATTTAGAATGTGCTAAACATCTTAGGTGCATTCAGTTGTCAAAGTTCATGAAGGAGAAAATAGTAACACTAAGAGGTTAACTGACTTAAACAAGGTCATACAAATAATAAGGATGGCTACATCGTTCCCCTTTCCTTCTCCCAGGGGCAACTCTCCTTAGCCACCCCATACCTCATTAATCTTCTTCCCCCTCTGAATTCCTACAACTGTTTAAATTAGCCATGTCATGCAATTTAGCACTTACACTCTTTCTGATTAGTGCCTAGTAGTTTCATGCTTGCATACCCAGCATCCCAGCATGGGATAGGAATACAGTTGCTTCTTTTGTATTCACTCTGCATAGCACAGGACCAAGATTTTGGTACATCCTTAATGGTATTTTTTGACTTGAATGAAATTAAACTTTAAGTGATCTTATAAAAATGAATAATATATCTATTGCATCTTATATTTTATGTGATGGGGATGCATTACAGGTATGCTTCCTCTATCGCCTTTTGACAGTTTGGAATATATGATCCAGGGCATTTCTGTAGCAATTGGCAAAAAATACCACTACTCAAAAAATAGTCAAATCTTTTCTAATATGGTTCTGTAGGAAAACATTCACCAAAAAATTAAATTATTTTCCATCATATAAAGAAATCATAGACTCTTCAGGAATGATTTCTTAGATGGTAAGGAGCTCAGATATTTTATGATTATAGCTAATGATAGTTTCCCATATTTACTGTTCTGATGTACCACTTGTGTAAACACCATTTTATGTATTGTATCAGTTCACATGAGAACCCTGTAAATTAATGTTATTAATACTTTCATTCTACTCAGTAGGGAGCTGTGGCAAAGAGAGTGAGTCGATCAAATAACATGTAATATGTAGATCTCATGGATCTAGCTAGTTTGACTCAAGAGTTCTTCATAAGCTCACTTTCTTAAAATAGAAGCATAAAACTAACTTCCCTTAATAATAAATTCACACATAATTTTCAGCCCCTCCCTGTTCCTCAACCCACAAATTTATCTATATTTATTAGGTAAGTATCCCAAGATTTGCTTTCATGCTGAGGCAGTTATTCATGATTACTAAATTCAGTATTTTCTCAACCCAGTCAGGCCCACTGTTACCTTTTTATAACAGATATCTTCTAAGTTTTTACTTTCTGGAAATGAAATAAAAAATATAACCCACCTATACCTCTAAATAGAAAACACCAATATAATGATTAATATAATGAAAAATACTTTATAAGTGTTTGCTTTAATATGCAAAGGAATTAACATGCTTCTACTATAAAAAATGCCAAAGTAGTTAGGAAAATTACACCTATTGGTAAAATCACCATGGATGGAGAACTATAAAGGTAAGTTTTATTTGTCTTTCAAATATTGTTAGTAGAGTTTGTCTTAGTGATGAGATTTTCTGAAATGATTACCAAATCCTTGTTATATTCTAGGGGAAAAAAGAGCAAAGTCCCTCCATTGCCATGGTTGTGTGCTTCTTCATTCATAAAAAGTACATTTTCACATTTCTGAAATTAGTAGGTATCATTGATGCTGTGGTTGCTACTGTAGTTGCCTGAACATATGTGAACTTGGTATTAATGTTGTGGGTTGTTTTTTTTTTTTTTTTCACTTTGTTTTGCTGAATAAACTTTTTAACAACCATTTAAAGAAGGGATATAACCACTTGCTGTTGTCTGAAAACTCTCCATCAATATCTTTGGAAGGCTGAGAGAAAGGCATCAATTTTTTTTTTTTTAAGATTTATTTAT